AACTAACTGATCACGTTAGCGCCGTACACACCTTGAGTAACTGAGACATGTAGGTGGACAACTCATACAGGAACAAGAACAGCGCCCGCTGCATATCATCTGCCCCAGGGTCACATGATCCTAACTCCACACTATTTCTTATTAAGGCCGCTATGGAGCAATGAACACTATTCAAGCTGTAATACAAGTTCACATTGATGTGGGTGTGAGTTTATGCTTGACTGCCAAGCAGTACACATGCACACATGCCCCGGTACTGATATAACAAGCATGCTGGTCGGCAATGTACAGTGCTGCTCAATAAAATCCGGCCGCACGAGTCAAGTTTGCGCCTTGCACCATTTCGCAGCCCTGTGTTCGCAGGTCTAGGGCTGTGCAGCGCCCGGCGCGTACTTGAGTGACTCGACTGGATTTCATTGAGCACCACTGTATCTGCCAGTGCAACAGTCAGTCACACAGATGTCTGCAGCACTTTAAAAGCAGCTGGAACTACTCAGTCATCACTTACGCACAACCGTCGCATGTGCCGGCTGGACAGTTCTCACTGGTGGCTAGCTGGAGCTCGCCTGAACCCTGTGCGGCAAAGTGGTGACAAACACATGCTTGCTCGAGGCAGTACAGGTAAAGTGTCCACAAGAGGCAGGTCAATGCTCTTAGGATGTGACAAGATCTCGCGATTCCACTAATTTTATTACGATATCGGTTGCATACAATCGTCATGTTTAATGATGAATCAGATTTATGATACGGTACCAGTACACACATGGTTGTATGGTGAGATAGATGTTAAGCAAACATGCTTCTACGAGTGGTTCACTAGCGTGTGGGTATCAGGTCTACTGTACCTCTTTGGAAGCATCACAGTGGAGATTGATGATGGACATGCGTCCATTGTCGCAGCGTGATTCTCCCCTGCATGCACACAGCCAAGGTACAACGGCAGAACAGCCGTGCCGAAGAATTATACCACAATGTGCTTGGAGTCACGGCATTGCAGCTGCCAGTACTAGCAAGAGTATATGACCCCCAAGAGTGTGCAACTCCTGATACCCTTTCTATGGGGTACGCCGACGGCGAAAACTCACATCATGTGGTGTAGTGTCGCAGTTGTATGTTTCCAGCCCGTTTTTAGCGAGCAGCGGAGTAATAGAAAAAGCACTCTCTTACTGCGCGTATGCAAATCCCCAGCATGATCACGGCAGATACTCGGATTGCGCGCACGCTATCCCTCGTTTGAACGTAGTACGAAATGTATCTGAGACACGTGATGTGAGTTTCCGCCACTCTTGGGAGGTTATATACTCTTGATAGTACTCTATGAAGATAATGGTTAGCAGTTACACGTATTTAGACATGCATGAATGCACATCATAGTTCTCTGTCACTGCATGCGTCGTACCAAGCAGATGATTCCACGATGGCCATGCACATGTGTGACACACAGACACACACACACACACAACGCTATGCAGACCAGTCCTCAGCCGCTCTCCTATTCACAACAGACTACCAACAGAATTCATAATCACCACAATACGATTGAGCAGTCTGTGCACTCGCAACAAGGACCATATTAAAAATTCATGTCACGACAAAGACTATTTATGTTTAGTAAGCTCTTCGAAATACTTCCTGGGATGCAATATGGCTTCCAGTAAAATGCCTCTAAGTGTGAAGTGTGGTCTTCCATTTTCCGCAGTTTGTGGATGTGGCTACATATTGTACAGAAGCCAGACTACCGCACATCTGGTCCACTTGCATGCTCTTGGCTACAGACTCTTGATGACATGCATGTTGCGAACTAATACACAGCACACAAAGTCTCACTTGTCAGAGTGGTAGAACATGGAGATAAGAGATTCGCCAGTGCTGTTAGCACGCTGCACTGAAACATGACTGGTATCTGTATTGACACACACACACACACACACACACACACACACACACACACACACACACACACACACACACACACACACACACACACACACACACACACACACACACACACACACACACACACACACACACACACACACACACACACATGCACACACACACACACACACACACACACACACACACACACGCACCCAGCCACATACCAAAACACAATAATAATAGTATGCAGCTGCCAGCAGCATCCCATGCCGAAAAGTGAAAATCCTATCCAAAAAGGTCTAATAACAGACTGGCCACACTCCCAAGTGCCTGGGGGTTCTGTATGTGCATTTGCAATACATACCGCATGCCTTTGAAATGGCAAAATGACCTGAGTAGCGAAATGACAAACATTTACTTTCACCTTATGCAACATTGCCAAGTTCACTACTCATAGAATCCTGGTACTGTGCTAGTAACTGAGACAGTGTGTTCATGGGCAGTGTGTTCATGGGCAGTGTGGGCCTGAGTCTAAACAGTCAAAGAAGCTTCTCGTATAGAGCTGGCTACTACCGTGATCAGACCCTTGGATCATGAGAATGAGTGGAGGCTTATAATATTATTGGAATGTTCAAAATCAGCATAGTGCATGATGTACAGCATAGTGCATGATGTACCGGACCAAGCCCCCACTCACTTGAGCTACTGGTCATTTTATTGCTCTTGAACCGACCACCAAACCACCGTGGAATTCAGGTACTGAGATATGTGCATGTATCGTAGCTACATATGTATGATACCAGACCTTGTAGCCCCCCCCCCCCCCCCCACACACACACATACAAAGAGAGAGAGAGAGAGAGAGACACACACACACACACACACAACATACTCATTGTGCGGCGAGCAATAGCGTCGATCTCTGCGGGAGTCATCGAAGGCTTGATGTGCTCCACGGAAATCAGGTTCATTCCGAGCCTGCATGGATAAGAGAGAAATGTTCATGTAGCCGTAAATGTGCTGTCCAGCCTAGCCTAATGTCCTGCGTGTGTGCACTCTATCTTGCACAGACCAACACACAAGTATAGCCACTGCGCTCTTCACTTCAAGGTTGGGCTACCATTCATTGGTTGGTTAGTTTCGAACCAGATCGAGCATTTTAAAAGCCAACACTCTGCCTTGGTGTAGCACTATGGTCTGTACATGATTGGCGATAGATTGGTCAAAGATACATCATGGCTATTAATGCCTATTATCCTGCCTTGACCATTTCCATTCAATTACTGAATGTCTCGCACCATGTAGAAATAATTTCCGGATTTCAAAAATAAGCAAGGCAAATTTGAACCATTCCTACAAGTGACTGTACACACATCACAAAAAGAGAATGCGTGAATGAATGTTTGCCAATGCCTGTATGGATACTGACCCGATAGGATAGCCGTGGAGCAGCACAGCGTCCTTGACGTAGGCAACTGTATGCCGGCACACCTTGCTATCTACTTGATGGTAGTCGGACCTCAAAGAAACCTACAGAATGTACAATAGAAAGAACACACCGAAATTGGCAACGAAACCTCCCAGTTGCACAAACAATTGTCCGCCGACATCCTGAAAGGTCACACTGTCTCCGATCGCAGTGAACAGCAAGTATATATTCTCTCATAAATGTACTTGCAAATAGGAACTAATCGGAACTGGAGGGCACTTTGCTCAAGAGAGGAAAGTAGTTTCGTTCCAACCTACCCCGTGACCACCACGTCCGCTTGTTAAGTTACCGAAACAGGTAGAGTCCATCTCGGCACCGCAAATGGACACGCGGTACTCATAGACATAGCGAGTACCCTTCGGCGTGAATCGACTGGGTGACTGGATGGCATGCGACCTGAGGGGACAACACCATCATACAGTAGAGACCGTTCACCCCTTACCCGGCACCTGGCTGGCAAACACTGCGACTATTAGACTATTATATGAAGCAACCTCGTCATACTGTAAAAGCAGAAATTTTCGGCGGTGTTATATTTTTGGTACTCTCCGAAATCGGCGGTTCGGTGGAGGGAAATTTTCGGTAAACCAGTTTTCCAGGTACCGGTAAGTGTACTAGTACCGAAATTTTCGGTGCGTTTTATTTTGGCAAAAATTTCGGCACCGAAATTACCGAAAATAAAACACCACCGAAGAGTTCTGCTTTTACAGTAGGTGTTAATCTACATGTATGAGCTGGCATTGAACACCTTCTCACTAGTACATGTACTGCAACGTCAGCAAACACCACTGCCAAAGGTGTTTTTCACACACTCTTCTAGGGTGCAAGTTACCATGCTGCCATGTCATGTTTCCTACAGACAGAGTAGGCAGCTAGCACTACTAGATAGGAGTAGATTCACGGCAACATGTCTAGCAAATTTCTTCCCAACGTTCCCAAACAACAATTTTCTTTTTCAAATCATTCAGAGATTGCCAGGGAAACATATGTTGACTATGCATATCGAACCTGACAACTTAGGAAGGAGGTTATTTCAATAACAGCCTACCCAGCCAGTTGTGTGAAGTCGTACAGTACAGAGTCGGCACTCTTGAATGTGCAGTTGCTGTAGCACATCTCCGATGCTGGCTTGCTGCGTGCTCCCGGGCCGCATGGTACACAGGAGTTGGCGCCGATGCGACGGCTACCGCTGCTGAGCGCCGTACCCGCCGGGCATGGCGTGCACGTGTGATCGCCGGGGATGCTCGTGTCCAGGTAGTTGCCACGCGGGCAGCCTTGACAGGACACTGAACCTCCTTCATGCGGAGAGCTGGCACCCTGCTGCTGTTGCTGCTGTGCGGCGGCTGGCGAGAGACCAACAGCGGAGCAATCCTGACACGATGTACCACCACCGTACATTGTGTTGTTGACGTCGATGGAGTTGATCTTGAGCAACGGATGATCTCTGTTCTGCCAGTCTCCCATTCCTTTGCTAACGGTGAGCACCCAGGTGAACTCATGGTAGGCACTGGACATCACGTGATAGGTGAACTTTCCCAGGCGGCCGTCTCCATTCCAACTCCAGACCATATCCTGGCCGCCAAAGTTAGGCTTGTCGTAGAACGAGAAATCACACAGGGAACGAGGGCAGTTGAGTTCGTAGGAGAACTCAACCGAGCCGACTCTCCTTGGGTTCTTGGCACCAAGGAGAGCCTTTGCAAAGCCGAGGACGTACACGCGGAAGCGTGCTGTGCCACCGTCTTTCATGGTGGACTGCAGCACAGATGCATAGTTGGATTCGAAGTTCCAACCGCTTTTATCCGGATCGTCTAAGCAGGGGTCTGAGATAGAGAACGGGCCGACATGCACATACGGAAACACACACACACACACACGCACATGCACACACACACACACACACACACACACACACTCACATGCACACACACACACACACACACACACACACACACTCACACATGCACACACTCACACATACACACACACACACACACACACACACACACACACACACACACAGAACAAGCCATCAGTACGAGACACTCTCCAGAAGTACTAGCACTGCAGTCAGATACCGATCATGTAACTACAGTAAACCACCTGTCAAGGCAGTGACTACTCGGATAAGGCGACTACTCGGATAAGGTGACTACCTGTCAAGGCGACTACTCGGATAAGGCGACTACTCGGATAAGGTGACTACTCGGATAAGGCGACCACCTGTCCTAGAAGGCCACTGGAACCAGGACCAAGGGATGCTATTTCCAGTCAATTGACAGTGGATAAGGAGACCACCTGGTAACAGAGACCACATCTTCACATGTTGAAGGTCCCTTGAGCGGTCGTCCTAGACAGGTTTCTCTGTACTCCCATCACATTCAAAATTCAAATTCAAACTCCAGACACTTCACATTTTAATGTGAATTGTAAAAGTCTTTCTACCCAGATGCAGCTTGTAAATAAGATTCCATTCCTTTAGTGCAGTACATTCACAACACAGCATAATGCACCGGCCCACCCAACTGAGCACAGCTGCTGGTCAACAAAGTCGTGCTATTTAGATAAAATTAATTCCCGTCCCCTAACGTACCACCATTGTGGCGCCTGCAGGAGGTGGAGAAGGTGAACTGTTCCGTGGCACGGTCGTCCCACCAGTTCAAGTGAATACCATTGACCGTCTGGTAACCTGGCTTACACGCATGACACGCTACAGTCGGGAAGATTGTGACAGCGCCCGGAACAACACAGGTAACACACACAAACACAAACACACACACACATAGTTATCATATTGGAAGATAGTCGCACCGGAGTGCAGGAGAACAGGCCAGCCCTCACTGGACAGACATTGCCATACATGTACCGTAAAGTCCGCTGCAAACGCCCACTTCGCTGCAAACGCCCACCCCAGCGGCCCGGGTTCATACTATTTTCGTCTTTTTCAGGTCAATATAGTTGTAGAAAACTGGCATGAAGGTCGAATGCGTACGATAACGACTATCATGCCTACAAACTGCCTAGGTTTTACCAGAGGCTCTGCAAAAGCCATTGTCATTAACTTGCTGCAAAGAAAAAAACTTCGGTCGAGATTTCCTTTCATACGATGAATGAGAAACCATCTGGTTTTCAAATCTTGAATTTCTGCAGTGCTTGCGACAATGTCGCGCTTTCAAAACGGAACGGTGATTGTTCTGACGAAGCGTCATTCAACAACTTTACAGGTCGCAGTATTGCAGTTGCAAGTCGAACAGGGGGGTCACAGAAGCTACACCTACAAAGTCGCTCCTAACTTAATGAAAACTCTGAAGTGCTCGAGAAAAACCCTTGCCATTGCGCTTTGCGTGATTTGGTAATGGTGGCTTGAAACATAGTCAGAAGTGTATTTGGTTCCTGCAATAGCCTTGTTCTTCGCTACCTTGTTATTCCGAAGTAACTCCCTTTTGCATTTGCGAAATAAAACAACCAACATCATAAAATCACTAGGAGCTAGCTCGTAACTAGTGCCCAAAAACATATTGAAACCCGGAAAATGAACATAGTTTACCGTAGCAAAGCGCTCCTCGCGCTACGGTGTGAGATGCACTTTCATACAGTAGGGGTGACAGTGCATGGGGTCAGTGCATATAGGCCAGCAGATCTTGCAAAAATGGGGTGGGCGTTTGCAGCGGACTTGACGGTACATGTAAGTCGGGCAGGTGTGAAATACAGCTCTCCCAATCCACTTGAAATAAGCACAGTGTGCATTGCTAAATATGGGCTGCATGAGTAAAGCATGTGAGTATGCTTGGATCAGATATGCACTGTTCAACACCCCAGATGACCATGCCCAGGTGGCTGTGTGGGATGTTCGCGGTACAAATTATGTCATTGCGCAATGGGCTCATTGATAGCAGCTATGATCGCCACTGGGAGTGTGTTACTTTGAGTATGTGTGCACAGTGAATAGTGCACAGTGAATAGTGCACAGTGAATAGTGCACAGTGAATAGTGCATGGCTCAAACCTCTGGTTTTGCACATACAGTGAAACCTGGTTAAGAAGAACCGACTGATAAGACACTGATAAGACACTGATAAGACACTGATAAGACACTGATAAGACAAATTTTCGCTTTAGAAGAACTAGCATTCG